TTTTAAAGACACTAAAAAGGAAAAAAATAGCCAGTTATATTTACCATTTCCAATGTTCTTCAATCATTCTGAATATTCAAGTTTCCCTCTGGTATTATCTCCCTTCAGTCTGAAGAACTTCCTTCAACATTTCTTATAGTGAAGGTCTCGGCGACACATTCTTAGTTTCCTTTTATCTGAAAATGCTGTCTGACATTCATTCTTTAAAGATGTTTTCCCCAGATATAGAATTCAGGATTGGCAGGTTTTGTTCCTTTCAGCACTTTAAAAGATTTCCCTTCTGGTCACCATAATTTCTGATGAACAGTTCATCATTTGAATTGCTGTCTCCATGTATGCAATGTGTTGTTTTTATCTGGCAGCCTTCAAGATTTTCTCCTTATCATTGCTCTTTGACAGTTTGACTATGATATGCCTAGGCATGGTTTTCTTCATATTTATCCTGTTTGGGGTGCTGAGCTTTCTAAATTTATACCATTCACCAAATTTGGAAAGTTTTTGATTATTATTTCTTGGAATATTTTTCCTACCTTATTCCCTCTATTCTCTCCTTCTACATCTCCAACTGCACAAATACTAGACATTGTGATACTGTCCCACAGGTCCCTGAGGCTCTGCTTATTTTTCTGTAATTTCTCCCCTCCCCCTTCTTTCTACTGAATAATTTCTATTACCCTAATTCCAAGTTCACTGATTCTGTCCTCTGTTATCTCCTCTTTGCTATTTAGCCCATCCAGTGAATTTTCTATTTCAGATATAATTTTCAAAAAGTTCTAAAGAGTTCCATTTGATTCTTTTTAATATTTTCTATTTCTCTGTTGAGATTTCCTGTCTTTTCCTTGATTTTAAGCATATTTTCCTTTCTGGAAAATTAGGCAGTTTTAAGAGCTGCTTTAAAGTCGTTGTGTGATAATTTGAACATCTGAATCATCTCGGAGTTGGTATTTGTCAATTATCTTTTGTCTGGAGAATGGGTCACAATATCTTGGCTCAACTTTGGATTGTATCTTGGACACTGTGAATGTCATGTTGTGGAAAGTTTCTGTTCTGTTATACTCCTTTGAAGAGCTTAATGTTTTTGTTTTAGCAGGCAATTAACTTGGTTAGACTTGAACTGCAAACCCTGTAACACCTGTTGTGCACGGCAGCTCAGATCTTAGTTCTGACTGCTCTCAGTCTGCCCCAAGTAAGCACAGTTCAAGAGCCAGCCAGAGATTTGGGGTTGTATACGGAATGAAGGCGCCCCTTCTCTGGCTCTCTGGTTGCCTCAGGCCCTTCCCCCATCAGAGAGAAAGTGGGCTTTCTATTGGAATGTTAGCTGTTCCACACCATCAATGCCACAATTGTGGGCCCTCAAGACAAGACCCCCAAGCAGGAAACTCACTCTGCCATAAACTTTCTCTAAGTTTTGATCCCCTCCAAAATATGCTGCTTTCTGCTCACTTACCAAAGCTTTCAGGTAGTAGTTTTTTGTATTTTAATCACAGTTGGCCATTGATATCTGCAGGAGGGCTTGTCAGATAGAAGCTACTCGACCATCACCAGAAGGAGAACCTTATCATCTATTTTGTATATAATTTCTAAAGTGATTAGGGGAGTACAGACATACCATATATGTGTATTTCAGAAAAGTATCTGAAACAACCTTTCATGATATCCTAGAATAAAAGCATGCTAAAAGTGAGAGGAACTCTAGAGATCATTTTGCTCAATACTCTCATTTTGTAGACGTGGACACTGAGTCGCAGAAAGTCAAGCAGCCAGTAACATATCTGGAATGCAACACAAGATATCTTGATAGTTTTAGTACTCTGTCCTCTCAATACCACACCTCTTTTGGACATAACAGAGAAATGAAGACTGGCTAACATTATAACTAATAGTTTTTCATATGGTCAAAAAACCTTACTCAAAGACTCAAAGAATATTGATTAAGTGATAGACGTCTACCTGGCAGGCGATTTCTAATGATACGTAGAAGGCCTTATTGTTCTTTTGTCCTATTCTGCATAAATGCACATTCCTACATTCATTCACTCAACAAATATTTACTGTTTGCCTATCATGTGCTAGGAATACAGTAGGGAACAAAAATGACAAGGTTCCTACCCTTGTAAAGTTTATATTCTAGCAGCTTATATTCTAGCCCAGGAGAGACACAATAAACAAACAACAAATAAGAAGCTTTCCACATTGCTGACACCCTCCTACTTAAAACTCACTCTTCCCTTGGCTTTGTCCTCCTCACCCCTTAAATGATTCAATCCTTGGCCCCCTTCTCACTTTAGATGCTTTTCCTAGGCAATCTCAGTGTCTCCCCATGGTTTCCTCAATGTATATGTTGATTACTTTCAGCTTTTCACTTTTTTCACAGATCTCTCAAATAAGCTCTGAACTCTCTCTTGTACAATGACATGTACCATACAGGCCCTTCAAATTTGCCATCTCCAAGACTGAACTCAACTCATTCCCTGTCAAGCACATTTCTCTTTCTATCTTTCCCATCTCAGCGGTATCATCCTAGATGCCACTGCCTGTTTTACCTCTCACACCCAGTGAGTGGGTCACCAACTCCTTTTAATTCTACTTCCTGACTCTTTCTGCACTACAACCCCTCTGCTATTGATCCAACCATCTTCTTTATATTATTACGGTAGGTGCTTAGGCAGTTTTTCAGCATTTTGCATCAGAATTTATTTTCTATAACATAAATCTAATAATGTCATTTCCCCTGTGCTTTGTGGATATTTTTGTCAGAACCTATTTTATTGTACTCGATTACTTAATTATTAGACTTTGAACAAGTAGAAGGAAGGGACCATGCTTTACTCATCTTAAATTTCCATAATCAAGCAATAGTAAGTAAATGCTTCAAATCAAGGCATTAAAGATGTTCTCATTAAATCTGTGGATTATGAAATTTGCAGGAAAATAACACAACTTTGAATATATAAATTTCTTAATTAGCTAAACCAAAAAGAAAATGCCTACCAGGAAAAAAGTGTTGAATCTAAGTAAAAATAAAAAAATAAAATAAAAATGTAGGGAGGACACCTTAATAACACAAGTGAAAAGATGTAGGAATTTTAGTTTATTTCATTGGTAATTTAATTCTCAAAAAGCTAATGCAACTTTAGGTGGCCTTAAAAGTATCAGTAATAGTTCCAGTCTACACTAAATGTTATGGGTACCGAATTTTAAGAGAATCAATGACAAACTGAAGACCCTGCTGAGAAGAGCAACCAGGACAGTGTGGGGCCCTGAGGTCAGTGTTGTTAGAAAAGGTTGAAGTAAATACTGATGTTTACTCTATAGAAAGGACAACAGTCAAGACATTTGTTGTTAGTGCTGTCCAGTAGATTCCAACTCCTAGCGACCCTGTGTACAACAGAGTGGGACCCTGCCCCATCTTTTTGCACCATCCTCTCATCTTCTGGTGCTATCTCAGACAATGCTCCACTGCTACTCATAGGGTTTTCATGGCCAATTTTTTCAGAAGTGCGTGGCCAGGTACTTCTTCTTAGTCTGTCTTAGTCTAGAAGCATTGCTGAAACCTGTCCACCATGGGTGACCCTGCTGGTAAATTTGAAATACTGGTGGCATAGCTTTCAACATCACAGTAACAAGCAGCCACCAGAGAATGACAATCGACAGATGGGTGGTGTGGTTCCCCAACCAGGAAATGAACCTGGACCATGGCGATGACAGCACCGAATCTTAACCACTAAACCACCAGGGCTGGCAATGGGGATGTAAAATTTCTTAATTTGAAGAAGAGTTCATGGTAGAGAATAAGACAATCTGAGTAACACATGGTAACATCAGAAACTTTGGGTCTAAGTACAGGGAGACAGACTCTCAGTATTAGAGCTGTGCCCAAATGGGACATTGCTGCGTGATTTTGTGAATTCTCCTGCAGTAGAAATTTCAAGTAGAGGCTGGACAACCACATCATGAATATATTTAGCACAGGGGATTTCCGCACAGAATAGGAGACTGAGCTGAATGCTGACTTGCAGAATGTCGACTTAGCACCTAACTCCAAGATAGATCATGGGCAGGTCATTGGGACAGACATTTTTGGGTAACCAAGCAAATCGTCCAGACATCTCCCTTCCTGATCACATTCTGACTGCCATTTTCCACCTAGGAAATAACTCAGGATTCCTCTGAGGTAGCTGTCAGATGGCAGTTAATTGATACAAGAGAAAAGCATCACATATTTGAGAATGTTTACTAGGGAGTTTTTAATGCAATAAAGACATTGAATATAAATGTAAATATAGGTAGTCATCCATGAACTACATAAAAATGCTCCATATATAACCATGTAAAATTCCCTTTCCTTTCTCACTTTGCTGCTGTGGACATCTTTGTTCTCTAAATGACATGGTACCCTGGTCCCTACTTCTTGAACCCCTCAGGACCCATTTACAGAGGTATGATGGAAGAAGAAAGAAGTAAAATGGTGAATGAGCACGAAAATCTGGTTCTAGTAACCTGGTCTTAGCAACCCAAATTATAAAAACACAAAAATTATCCCACAGAAACAAATGTGATATATGTTTCTCTAGTGCTATCTTAGGGACACAGTGGGTTCAACAGACTTTTTTGGGATGGCTCAGAACCTAATCACTACATAGAAAGTTGCTTCCATGGAGACACTTTCAAAATACGCAACAATTAACTCAAAACATGTCAGGACTATCTTTATGAAAAGCTTAATGTTTTATCATGTCATTTTCAAAATTTAAAAAAGTAACATTTGGAACACAGCTAATCCACTAGAAGAAAAATCACTTGAGCTGCAGCACTGAGAACAAATCATGCAAATCTCTGAAGGGCAGAGGCTGCAGCACTAACAGCTAACAGATACTTCTTTCAGGGATGGATAAGTCAGCTGCACCTTATTATTCATCAAAAGGAAGTGATCATTTTCACAATAAAGTAAGGTGTTGGGTTATTTCTCATGACCCAGAGTTCTCTCAAAAGTTACTCACAGCTGAAGAGTAGAGTTCAAACTCCTGCTCCGGAAGGAAAGAATGCCAGCCGTCTTCTATCACTTCAAACATGGGCCGGTAAAAGAAAGGGTACATCAGAGTGATGGAGTCCAGAGTGGACAACGCCTGGGGGTAAAAAGGAAATAAAGAAAGGAAAAAAGGAACATACCATAGTTTGAAACACTTTCTAACTGCCAAATTGTTACGGAACAAATATGGTCTAATAATGATGGGCACCCAATATATTTCTCTAACATTGTATTTCACTAGATACAACTATAGCTTATTGAAGCTCATTTCCATGCTTCCAGCATCTAACAAGCTATCTGGCACATAACATACACTCAATTAGCAATGTGCACCCCTATTCTAAGAGAAAAGTGAAATAACTCCTCGACACAATTTAATAAAACCTAATACAATGGTCCAAATATTTCTGGAAATCAGAGAACAAACACATTTTGGTTAGTCAATAAAGCCTTGGCTTAAAATCTGGTTATCAACTATATAAACATAGTAAATTATTTAAAATCAAAGTTTGTTAGTAACTACAAAAAAGGATGATATAGCTTAGTGGCCACAGAGTCAGACTGGAGTCATACTGCTGGACTCCAGGTCCCAGTGTAATTGTAGTTAAGGAATGCAATCACTCCATGCCTCAGTTTCCTCAGCTGTTTAATGGGGAAAGTAACAGTGCCTAACTCATGGGCTGTTAGAAGGCATTAAGAGAGATAATGTGTGTGACAGGACTAGAAGAGTACCTGGCACACAATAAACTCTAAAATAATTTTAGCTTTTATATGCTCCACATATTATACGCTCTACATATGCTCCATCAATGTTCATTTCCTCCCTTCCTAGAGTGATATGCCATTTGGTCAAGTATCCTCATATCTTTGTGCTACACTGACCCATTCTCAAGCCAGGGTAACAACTCTGTGGTCCCAAAATGAGCCTAAAATCATCTGGAGCCTTGAATTCTGGGTAACACCACCAGGAAAACCTGACTAGGTGAGAGGAACAGACAGATGGAACATCCTCCATCACCTGGCACTCTCATTCTTCTGACAAGGGAGTTATGGAAAGCATTTCTACGGCTGAAAAAAGGACACCAAAATCAACTAGCATAACTCAAACTGCAGTAATTATGGAGACACTCACCTGGGGCAGGGGGAGGATGCCCAACATCATGCTAGTACCCCAAAACTCTCAGAATAAAGCTACCTCCCTCCAAGTCACAGAAGAATCAGGCCCCCAAAAGTATGGGCCCATGACTTATTAAAAAACAGATGGACATGTACTTTAACAAAAACCTCACCATCTGAAGTTATTCTGCTATCTGTCCATAAATCATGAAGCTTTCCCCCAAAGTTCATAAAACAGACAATATGGGGAAGCACAGCTGTATAACCCATCATCCACGTCTCTATTGTCTTTGGCTGCCAGCCACAGCAAACAGAAGCAGAAAGGCCATGTCTAATCTAGGCCAGAGCTGTCAACAGTCAGTACAATCATTATTTTATTTAGTTTATTTTTAAGATATTCTTCGCAATTTTTCAGCTTTACTTTTTTTCCCACTTTTACTGAAAAGACAAATAAAACTGTTTAAGATATTTAAAGTGATGATTTGATATATGTACACACTGTGAAAGGATTCCCCTCATGGAGTTAATTAACATATCCATCACCTCGCATATTTACCTTTTGTTGCTGTTGCTGAGAATTTTTAAGTTCTATTCTCTTAGCAGATTTCAAGTATACAATACAGTGTTATCAACTACAGTCACCATGTTATACCCTAGATCCTTAGACCTTATTCATCTTATAACTGAGAGTTTGTAACTTTTACCAGCCTCTCCCTATTTCCCCCATCCCAAGCCTCTGGCAACCACTTTTCTAGTCTCTGTTTCTATGAATTTGACTTTTGTTTTAGATTCCACATATAAGTGATTCCATGCAGTATTTGTCTGTCTCTGTCTGCCTTATTTTACTTAACATAATGCCCTCCAAGTTCATCCATGTTATTGCAAATGGCAGGATTGCTTCCTTTTTTAATGCTGAATAATATTTCATTATTATTTTCTTTATCCCGTCCTCCATCGACAGACACTTAGGTTGTTTCCACACCTGGGCTATTATGAATAATGCTGCAACGGACATAGGAGTACAGATATCTCTGAGATAATGATTTTGTTTCTTTTGAATATACACCCAGAAGTCATATTGCTGGATGATATGGTAGTTCTATTTTTAATTTCTTGAGCAACATCCATACTGTTTTCCATACTGGCTGGTATAACCATGATTTTAAATACAAGTCAGCAACCACTCTGGCAATAAGCACTCATACTTTGCTGTGTCATGATTACATTTTATGTCACTAGAGATAGGACTTTTCATTTAAACACAGTAATGCTGAAAGAACTGAAACCCTTTCAACTCCAAAAGGCAGTTGAAACTACACAGAAGAAAGCTTCATCAGACTTTCTGCTACAATTTAGAAAACTGGCCATTTGCCAGTTATTCTTCCAATGGAATTCTATTTGTGGCAGCAGAATATATTTGGATATATGGGTTCTTGATAATAAAGAATAGCTCAACTCTGCTATAGAAGAGATTCATTACCCCCAAATTAGCAAGATATATAGAGGCAAGGGGGGAAATTGGACGCCAGGAAAGGGCTAGAAGCCAAGTCCCTACGTGTACTTACTATGCTATAAAAATGGTCAATAGAAGATTCACTTTCTGAGGTCAAATTATGAGAATGACTAATAATTTACAACTTCATTTCAGCCATCAGGACTTCTATATAAACAGTCAGTTTCTAAAGAGCTTTAGGTAATACATATATGGTTAATTAAATAACTGATTAGTGTCAGATCCTAACAAAGGTAAGTAAATGCAATCAGAAAATGGGGTAACGTGCTCTGCCCTATTTCTTCATCACTGTGCTTCAGCATAGGCAACTTCACTAACGCCCACCAACCAGCTATCTCAGAAGTTATAAAAGGAATAAGGAGAAAAATATAGATGAGTCAGTGAAAACCCAACCCCACAACTGAAAACAACATGCTCAACTCTGAAGTGGGCCAGTGGCATTCCCCAGCCCAAATAGCAGGACACACTTCAATTTAACAGGGTAGAAGCCACAGTGCATTACTCACTTATGTTAGCAAATTTGGTCAAATCAACACTACTATGTTACTTGCAAATGACAGATATGTAAAACAAACAGTTCAGCTCATCTCACTTCCTTAAGTAAAATTTAGCAAAAGCAGAAAGAAAAATGTTACATGCCATTTTCTCAGTACCACAACAGTTGTTCCTCTATTTCTCCATTCTGGTTTAAAAATCAAACAAAATCCTAGTTACATATTTTTAAGCCTTTCTGCCCTCTTAATAGTTAAGCCAGTAGCATTTATTTTGGACACAAAGCCCAAATTAGTCACTCAAAGACAGAAAAAAAAATCAGTGTGCCTCTATAATTATCTAGAAAATACCATAAACATAAAAGTTAATTGCTATAATTTAGTGGCAATGATTTAAAATAAGGCAATTTAAAATCTGAGTATATACCAAAATAGTTGGTTAGAACGGGGAAGAAAATAGTGTGAGCTCTTCAATTTAAATATTAACTTCCCTGAGTAAAATTTCTATTATTTGTAATCTGAACAGATATTCAATACTGTTTATACAAATAGAAAACAAACACACCCCGTCTTAAAGAAACCTAACATATGGAAATCCAGATTTACTAAAAACAAACAAAAGACTACAATCATTGGTGATAATTACTTGCTTTATAAAAGAAGTAACTTTTTGTTGTTGTTATATTGGTACCTGAGCTAACATCTGTTGCCAATCACTTTTCTTTTCCCCTTCTTCTCCCGGAAGCACCCCAGTACATAGTTGTAGATTCTAGTTGCAGGTCCCTCTGGTTGTGCTATGTCGGATGCTGCCTCAGCACGGCCTGATGAGCAGGATCTGAAGTGGCGAAACCCGGGACCACTGAAGCGGAGCGCACAAACCCAACCACTCAGGCACCAGGCCAGCGCCTAAAAGAAGTAACTTTTTAAAAAAGCCTCACCCTATACCTACACACAATGGAATATTACTCCGCCTTAAAAGAGAAGGATATCCTGTCACATGCTACAACACGGATGAAGCTGGAAGAATAAGTAACACTAAAAACTGCTGAGTCAATAAAATCCTATCACATTCCTCTGACAACGAATCAGGGTAAGGTTTTCCTATCAGTCTTCAATATTTGAGCCACAGAACATGACTAAATAAGAGCTACACTGAGTCAGAATATAAGGTTCTCTTTTATCACTATTTATTTTCATCAGATTTTGTTTCCAAAATACTTACCTCAATGGAACTGGCTATATTCAAACATTCCTCCATTCCAGGGATATCCAGCTGAATAATTCGAAAATCTTTACATTTTATGATGATGGTACCCAGTGGTCCCACAAATCTGTAAAAAATTACAAAGTATGCTTAAGAACATGTACATTCCTAACTCTATGATTGTTTCATTGAAAAGAGAATGTAATTATAATGACCATCTATATTCAACTTTCTTCTCCCCAGTTCGTCTAATTAATGAAGAGTCAAGCCTGCATCACTGAAATGTAAGCCATAAATTATTTAAAATATATGTATTTAAAAATGTTTCAAATACATAAAGTAATTCAATCTATAGGCCAATTCATTTAATGGAGATTATTTGGGGCTTTACTTCAAAGAATAGTGAAAAAAAGATCTGTAATTAATGTGTTAAGTGTTTGTGCAGAGATTTCTGAAGCACAGGAAAACAGGTCATTTCAGATTTTATTTACTTCCAAGCTTGCAGCAGTTGATTTTAAATATAAGTATCTCTTTTTCAGTCTTTAAAAACTATTAACTTGCAATATCTATTCTAAATCAAGGAAAACTTCAGAGTAAATGCCACAACTTATCATAAATTTTGTATCAGTAAGTTTTATACAAATTTAATTTTACCTTAGTTGGGATTTTTGTCTTCCTTTTATTGCTATTGTCTGTACTTGCTGATAGCTCTAATTTTTCTTCTGCTTTGCCACTGATTGCCCCCAATTCTTTTCCATTAATATTTCAGAGCATTCTCTAAACTAGGAATTCTTAGATTGATCAAAAGCTGGTCATTTTACTTACACTTTTCCCAGTTTAGAAAGACAACTCCTACAGCTACTCTTCCTGAGTTTCCCCTCAATTGTAAGCACCCCATGCTTCACATCACTGCACTGTTAATTTGGAAAGCAAACCTTATCAACATGGGTCAAATCCTAGTAAAGAAAGTTCCACCAGACATCCACAGATGATCAACACGGTGGAATGACTCTTATAAAATGTATTTTGAAAAATCATACTCTTGCATTTCAACTTCTGGCAAAGGCAGAATAACAGGGACTAGATTTACCCTTCCACCTGAAAGAACCAAAATAACTGGACAAAATACAAGGAAGTAGTTTCAACACACTGGACACAAGGCAAAGAAGAACAGGGATCCCTGGGAGATGGGAAACAAGGTGAGTCTTACGATTGCCCCAGTTTGCTGTTTTGAGAGTTTCTAGGCTATAGGTCAGGGAAAGGGAACCTGGGTGGGGCTGATAGTCTGAGGAGCCCACCTACACTAGAAAAGAAGGCAGGCCTCAAATTAGTGACTTCAGATTCCACTACACTAGAAAAAGAAGAGAGCAAATTAAATCAAAAGCAGAAGAAATTAAATAATAAAGATCAAGGCAAAAGTCAAAGAAACAGAAAAGATAAAATTCTAGAGAAAAACAATAAAAGCAAAAATGATTGTTTGAAAAGATCAATAAAAGTGACAAACCTCTAGCCAGACTGATCAGGAAAAAGAAAAATAAAGTCAGTCACAATTTACCAATATAAGGAATGAAAGAGGTTGCAATCATTACAGATGCTACAGTAATTAAAAAGATAACAAGGAAAGATTAGGAACAATTTTATGCCAATAAATTCAACAAGGTAAATGATAGGGACAAATTCCTCAGAAGACACAAACTATTAAAGATCATTCATGAAGAAACAACCTGATCCGTTCTGTAGCTATTAAATAAACTGAAATTTTATTAAAATCTTCCCCACAAAGAAAACTCTAGGTCTGGGGGACTTCACTGATGATTTCTATAAAATACTTAAGGAAAAAATACTATCAATTCAAAGACAAATTCTTCCAGATAATTGAAGAAGAGGCAATTACTTCTCAACTCATTCCATGAGGCCAGCCTTACCCTAATACAAAAACCAGACAAAGACATTACAAGAAAAGAAAACTGCAGACCAATATCCCTCATGAACATAGATACAAAATATCTAAACAAAATATTAGCAAATGAAATCCAACAATATACAAAAAGCATAATACATCATCAGCAATTGGAGTTTATCCCAGGAACTCTAGGTTGGTTTAATATTTGAAAATCAAAGTAATTTCCATATTGACAAACTAAAAAAGGAAAACTATATGGTCATTTCAACAGATACAGAAAGAGCATTTGACAAAATCCAACATCTATGCCTCATTTTAAAACAAAACAAAAAAACCCAACTCTCAGCAAACTATGAACAGAAGGGAACTTCCTCAACCAATAAGAGCCATTTACAAAAAAACTCTACCACTAATAGCATACTTAATAGTGAAAGACTGAATGCTTTCTCACTAAGATCAGGAATAATGCAAGGATGTTCACTCTCACCACTTCCATTCAACAGTGTACTGACAGTTACAGCCAGCGCAATACGGCAAGAAAAAGAAATAAATGGCATACAGATTGAGATGGAAAAAATAAAACTGTCTTTAGTTACAGATGACATGATTTTCTATTTAGAGAAGCCAATGAAAACTACAAAAAAGCTATTAGATTTAATAAGTGAGTTTAGTAAAGCTTCAGGATACAAGGTCAGTATACAAAAATCAATAGTATTTCTCATACTATTGCAATGATGTTTAAAGTACCAAGGATTTTGTTTTCATTCAGGTATGGTGAAGCCAACATATCAGGAGATGACTGTCATTGAAAAGATGGTTTGTTACTCATATTTCCCAAAGTGGGGGGTGGGGGGGGACACCATGCCATGCAGGGCCACATGAGGAAGCATGAGGGTCAGTCAGGAGGCAGAAGGAGAAAGGGGAAAGCATGGGCCAGAACCTTAATTGTGATGTTTCAAGGAGGGCAATGGGCAAGGCAGGGCAGGAAGCTTAGGACTGGATAGTCTGAATAATTTTCTTGGGCTTTGGGCTAAATAGTGGTTCCCTAGTTGTCTAGTACCTGGCCCCAGGGTGATTTAGGGCAGAGGAATAGTAGTCCTGATTGCAGAAGCCTGGTAAAAGGAGGCAGATAAGGGGTATGAACTCAGGACTGGTTGTTTTGCTTATCAAAGGTGTACCTACAGGCAAGTTATTTGCTATCCCTTGGAATTAGCTAACCCTGAGAGGGGTAGTACCTCACCAAGTCTGCAAGGCCCTAAGATGTCAATGTATCATAAAACATAGACAGTAAAAAACATGATTAATACAACGATTAATAATACATGATTAAAACATGATTAATGGGCAACTGAAAACTGAAATTAAAAAATACACTTGCAATAGCATCAAAAAGTATAAAACCCAGGGCCAGCCTCATGGCGCAATGATTAAGTTCACATGTTCCACTTCAGTGGCCCAGTGTTCACGGGTTCAGATCCTGGGCACAGACCCAGACACCATTCATCAAGCCATGCTGTGGCAGCATCCCACATATAAAATAGAGGAAGACTGGCACAGATGTTGGCTCAGGGCCAGTCTTCCTCACTAAAAAAAAATATGAAACACATAGGGGAAAATCTGACAAAAGATGTGAAGGGCCTATAAGTAAAAACTGTAACACATTGCTGAAAGAAATTAAAGACCTAAATAAAATAAACAGAGAAATATACTTTGTTCATGGGTCAGAAGACTCAATATTAAGATATTAGATGTCAATTCTCACCAAATTCATTTATCAATAGATTCAATACAATTTCAATCAAAATCACAGAGGCTTTTTTTTTTTTTAGAAATTCACAAGCTGATTCTGAAATTCATATGGAAATGCAAATAACTTCAAATAGCCAAAACAACTTTGAATAAGAACAAAGTTGGATAACTAACACTACATAATTTCAGGACTTGCTATATAAAGGTACTGTAATTAAGAGTGTGGTAATGGCATCAGGGTAAACAAGTAAATCAATGGAACAGAAAAGAGAGTCTAGAAATAGATCCACTTATACATGGACAAAAGTACAAAGACAATTCATTGAAGAAAGGACAGACTTTTCAAAAAATGGCTGTATATCTATATGCCAAAAGAAAAAGAAAAAGAATTTGGATCTGCACCATGAATCATATATAAAATCAACTCAAAATGGATCATACACCTAAATGTAAAAACTAAAACTATAAAACTTCTAGACAAAAACATGGAAGAAAACCTTTGTGACATTTGGTTAGGCAAAGACTTCTTATATAGGAAATCACAACTCCAATCTATAAAATAACTTATAAATTGGACTTCTTCAAAATTTAAAATGTTTGCTCTTTGAAAGACACTGTTAAGGAGAATGAAAAGACAACTCATCAACTAAGAGAAAATATTTGCAAACCTTCTATCTGATAAAGGACTTATACCTAGAATATATTTTTTTAAAAAAAGAATAACTCCCAAAACTCAGTAAGGGAAAGGATCTGGGAAGATAGTGGAGTAGGAAACACCAGGAATTTGTTTCTCCACTTAGACAGCAATTGCACTGGCAAAATCTGTTTGATGTACTATTTTGGAATTCCAGAGTCTATTAAAGGCTTGCAACTTCCAGGGGAAGACTTGGATGTCAAATTGCAGTTAATTTTGGATAAATTCATCTCTTAGCAAAATAGCAGCTACCCATCCCCCACCCATAGCCATGGGGCTGACAGCTGTGCACATTCCTGGAGTAGCTTGCACACAGCTTATAGAGCCAGGGTGGGAAAAAGGACCCTGTCTTCCACATATCAGGGATCTGTGCTCTGATCACTGATTGCTGCTTCTGATCACAGAGGTGCAGCCGAAGGTGAGCAGCCACTGCTGTTGCACCTCCCTCCATTGTTGCAAGTCCCTCCCCAGCAAGTGACTTCTAGGGATTTTAAAGGGCTAGCTCCCTTCCCCTCACTTCAGTTTCACTTTTCCCTTTTGGAAGCCAAACATTAAAGACTAGGACATTCAAAAACAACTGCATATATGGAGAAAACTAAGAAGTGACTGTGCATGTCCAGGGACAGGCTCAGAAAAGACATAAGAAGACCTTAAATTTATACCTCAGGCTGATTTTTGGCAGAGACAGCCTACAACAATAAAAAATCAAAACCAAAAATATAAGGAAAAAATAACAAAAAAAATCATACCCCATGGAAGGGGAAGAATGTGATTTCTAGAG